AAAAAAAAAAAAAAAAAAAGGTTGCAGCTGTTTTGTCGACATTCTGAATGCTTCTAATACAATTTTTAATTTAAAAAAAATTATCAGATCACTCCTTCAAAAAATATTCATAGGCCAAAAATGAGAGAAAACACTTCAAACTGAAAAGTCAATATTTGCAAGTCACTGAAGAAAATTTTATTACTTACAAAACACAACATGTAGCTTAGAAATCTATAGCAGAAGCAAACAGATTATTAAGGCATTTTACTTATAGTATTAGCATATTATCAGATTTTTAAGTGCATTCTTTATGTAAAAGACACCATTTTAGATTCCAAAAATGATCACTTAATCACAATCATGTTTAACAAACATTCAGAAAACTAAATGTTTCTCCTTTGTCATTTATGCTTAATAAATAGTAACGCTTAAAAACTGTGGCACGTGAATCACACATTATGGTTCCTGAGTAAGAGTAGTGAATGCTTTATATACAAAAATCAAATTTGCCTTGTTTTTTTCCCCATACAAGATTTAGAACACAGTTTTTAATTTGTGTTAAAGTTCAGTGTTAAGAGGCAAACACTTACTTAAAATGCTGTTCAAGGTTCTTGAACCATACATTTTGGTTGTTATCTGTTTAAACAAAACTATATGAATGTTATTCTAGTAGATACTCAGTTGAGGAAAGAAAGAAAAAAGATCTGTAAGGACATGCAGTGGAATGTGCATGGTCTGGCTGGAAAGCTCACAATCAGGTACAAATTACAGCACAATAATGGCTGGAAAGTTAATTAAGTCAACCTAACACAGCACTAATAACAAAACTTTTTTTTTAAATATATCTTTATTGATTTCAGAGAGAGGAAAGGAGAGGGAGAGAGAGAGAGAGAGCGAAACATCAATGATGAGAGAGTCATTGATCGGCTGCCTCCTGCAGGCCCCGGACTGGGGATAGAGCCCGCAACCCGGGTATGTGCCCTGACCAGGAATCGAACCCCAATAGCCTGGATCCTAGATCAATGCTCAACCGCTGAGACACACCCGGCCGGGCACAAAACATTTTTGTTTGTTGTATTTTAATTGTGGACAGGAGAGAAAATACATCTACTACATTCTTTTGATTCTTGGTGCTGAACTAATTGTCAATTGTTCATTTACAAATTTCTGAATTTCAGAGCTTTGTAAAGGAGGCAGAAGAAACCCCCGGAAACAGTAGTAACCGGTACTACCTACTATAGGATCCAAAGGATTTTAACTTCCTTTTTGTGAATTGCCTTATTACCAAAATCCAAGCACTTCTGAAATGTTTGTAGGAAAAAAAAAAGAGAAAGAAAGGGAGACGGAGACAGAACAGATGGATGGACCGATGACCATGGCAATGACAACCACCAGCCAGCACACACACAGTGTGCCAACCTTTGAAAGGCCACACCCATGAGCTCTAAAACCCAAGTGGGGCACAGGACTAAAGCCCACATACTAGCTATGTGATCACTTCAGAGTGCAGAGGAAAGTGTGCAGCTAGGTAGAAGCTGGCAGAACAAAGAAAAAGCTGGGCCATCCCACCCCCTGAGCATGATTCTTGAGCTGTAAAGAAATTCTGAACTAGTTCGATGAAACCTGCATAGGATTCAGTTAAAAAGGTCATTATCATAATTAGCATTGCTTACCGAAAGCAATCACCAAGAAAGAGGTTTATATTCCTTTGTTTTACTTTTCCCATCATTAATTTTTTATGCTGGTTTTCCTGGAATTTTCCAGTAACATTCCATTCCATGCTTAAAAACAACACTTCTATTTTTCTTTTATTTGGATGGGGTCTTTATGTTATCCCAATATAAAAAGTAGTAAATCCTTTAGAAGAAACAGGAACACTGAAAAAATGATGAGAATTATCAGGATTTCTAAGACAGCTATCATTTATGCACGCGCCCTGCAAACATGACTAATGAGCATCTGCCCCCAAAAGGGACAGTTTTTATACCCATTTAGGAGGGCATGTGTGCTTCAAGGACACAGGTTGCTCAAGGAGGGAAGCCACTGGCATTTCATTTAGAAATCAGTTCTGTGGTTATTTCAGACCATAGGAATAACTTTGTAAAACATGAATGCTCCTTCTTTGGCTAATGTTCTTGAAGAGTTTCCTGCCTGCCACAGGCCTGTTAGGTTTCTTCTGTTCTTAGTCACCCTAAATGGGTTCATAAGGGCAACCCATGGTCAAAGAGTGGCTGAAGACCAAGGCAGCAGCACCAAACTCCTCCTGAGCATGTGTGTGGGTATGGGAGTGGCAGAAGCAGCAGCCCCTTCACGAGAACACACCACTCTTGTTACTCTGCTGAAATTCACAGAAAGAACAGTGGTTCATAGAAGCTGCCCAACTCACACTCATTCTCACCTCTTCTTTCACACACATCCACATCCCTCATGCACATTCACACTCACACACATAAGCTACAAAGGAAACCAAAAGTTGATGTTCCACGTAATGCACAGAAAGTGCTAATTCCTATAAAAGTACTATTAAAATTACCAAATAAGTAACACTGCATGTACTAATTCTACTTCTGAAATAAGTTTGTCTTTTAAAAATTCCAAGGGGAAAAAAAACAAGGGCCCGGCCGGGAGTGGCTCAGCGGTTGAGCATCGACCTAGGATCCAGGAGATTGCAGCTCAATTCCCGGTCAGGGCACATGCCTGGGTTGCGGGCTCGATCCCTAGTTGGAGTGTATAGGAGGCAGCCGATCAATGACTCTCTCGTCATTGATGTTTCTATCTCTCTCTCATTCTCCCTTCCTCTCTCTGAGACCAATAAAGATATATTTTAAAAAAATAAACAAAATAAATAAACAAAGGTCACATGATTTTTAAAGGAGAAATTATGCCTTCTATAACCACATTGGAAGAATAGTAAAAATATGTGGCCCAATTAAAATAGTTCTAGTTCTGACTTCAAACACCAAAAATAAAGGGAGAAATATAGATATATATTTCATATGTATATAAAGTAAATTCATTATTTTAATGAAGACATAAATATATCTCCCTAAGAATCAATTCAAAACAGGACTAATTAGCCAGCAGGTTTAACACCAGCCAGCCCCTCCCCTCACCCAGTCAAGCAATCAATGCACCCTGGTGACATCCAGGAAGGACACCTGACAAACACATGCTTGCCATGGACAAGGATTGCCACAGAGAGGGACAAGCACCTCAGAATGTTAGCTAAAGCAGGACAGGAAGGTGCAGTTTTTTACTGGATTTCTGCCCTTAGAGTCTACAGTTCTGCGCTGCAGTTACCTTCCAAGGCAGATTCTGACTCTCCAATTGTATGTAAAAAATTATAAATCAACCTAGTAAAATCTTTCTTGGAATAAATAAAACATAAGCCCACTGGGAAGGAGGTAGCAGGTTAACTCATGCAAATCAGTTTGCCCAGATATGCAGTGTTCAGGCAAGGGAGAACAGGGCAACCAGGGCATGTGGAAAAGTAGAGTGCAATTCGGGGAGGCCAGGGTGGTTATTAACTCTACAGTCTGCAAAGGCAAAAATGGACCACAAGGGTAAATGCAGGGAAAGAAAGTAAAGGTTACCACTGGCCTATACAGGCTGTTTTTTCCAGAAGGGGCTCTGGAATTCATTTTCAATGTTCCACGCTTGACTTGAAATGCCTCTTAACACTTTGTTTAGGCTGTTAAAATAGCTTATAGAAACAGTGACTCTGTTATCTCTGAACACAAATTAAGTAAATTAAATTTTTATAAGCCAACAGTAAGACCTGTATCTCAGATAGTAATGTTACCTTGAGGTTCAACCATTAACAACTTCTAAACTCCTTTAAAGTGGATTGACTACTTGGAGTTGGGGGTAGGGAAATCCTGTCACTAATTTTGACAAGGCAACTTTTGTGTGTCTTTTGTAATAAATAAGTTTTTTGACTAGTGTAGACTTTCCAAGTGCAATGAAAAGGATTTTGAACTCCTGCCAGACCAATCAAAATGATTTCCAAAATGCCAAAACAGGAACTTTCTGTAATAAATAACCTATCACATATACATCTCAAATTAGAAAATTATAAAGAAAATGTGTTGTTTTGGTATCAAAATAGGGATTACAAAAGCCTGTCCATCCCACACCCCCCCACACACACACTTCACCTCCATTTGCTGTCTTTAGCCCTTATAGAAACAACACTGGTCCAGGTGCAGATACTCAATTCACAAGGAATGCAGAGAACATAAAAATGACTGTAGAGTTGGCTGCTGGTAATCCCTAAGGCGGCTTACCATTGGAAGTAGTGCTGGAGGCCACGGCTTTCTCACTGACATCTGTTCGAGTGGAGCATTTTACTACAGAATTCTCAACTTTTTTCTTCTCAGTGGTCAGGGAGCTGTGGGACTGGGCCTCCATGATGCCTTCTCATTACTTCAGCTCTCTGGCATCAGGAACACCTAAATAACAACAACTTCAAATAAGAGTGGGAAACATCTCACTCAAAAGCCCACTTTCCCTCTCACCTGAAGAGGTACCTACCGCATTAGCAAATTCAAAATGTGGTTATGCCTTCCTTATGTTTCCTTGCAAAAAATGCATCAAAGTTTTATTAACAAGCCAGTCAAATTCTGTCTGCACATGCAAAAGGAGAACAGAGGGCAATGTCCATAATGTGGGACTTTCCCCAAATTCCTACTGGGCATTTGTTATTAAAAAGTCTAAGTATCTCAATTTACAGCTGTGTTTATAGTGTGAAACCCAAGTGTCACATTATTCTTTTAAGCCACATCTACAAATGTCTCTTCAGGTGGCCGAATTTTATAGGAAGGCACATTAGGACAACTTTCCAAGCAGGGGAAGGTTTTCAATTAATTAGATGTGTTAAAGAACATGCAACAATTTCTCAAATCCAAGCCCTACTCAAATTTCAGAGGATAATTTGGGTCAAAAAGCCAGTGATTTTTGCTTCCCCTCACTGAAATACCTGAATTGCAATATGCCTCTTAATCCTAATTTATTAGGTAAATCATATTCTTTAAGCTTTCTTAAAACATCAGACCATTTCAATTCATTTTAGTTATATTTTTTAAACAAAGGTAACAGAACAACACACTCTCGATCCCACAGAAAGTCAAAAGACTGCCAACAGAAAAGACTGGAACCACTTAAGAAATATTAAAACTCAGCTAAAGGCAAGTTCAGTTAGTCGGCCTTTTTCACTGGCTTCATTCATGTGATAAATCACCCTAACTCATCATTCATCAACTTTCACTCAACTTGATGTCAAGTTCTTTTTTTTGCAGTCACGATCTACACCTACAAAGAATACAAGAAAAGATGACGGGTACCCTCTCTAGAATGTTTTCTTCCAGCTACCTAGATTGTAACACTCATGGTGGGCATTTCTTCAGTTGAGTCATCTGCTTCTTTTCTACATTTAGCAGACAACGCCACCATGGTCAATCAAAACTATTAGTGAAATAAAATAAGCAACTGCTTAACCAATGAAAAGAGTTAAAATACCAGATGAAATATTTTAGTAATCCTTAACTCAGATTTGCAAGGGAACTGCAAATTCTTTATTGTACAAGAAATTTGGAATTCAAGTAACCAGAAAAGTTTAAAACCTAGAGGCCGCATAGCACTGTAGCACCAGCTTTTCCACTAACTCCATTTCTTTTCCTTGATTATCCAGTGTCATTCACTGTAAAACACACAAGTTATTTAAGAATAGCATTTCTGGAATAAAAAAAGGAAAAAAAGAAGCACGAAGTTAAATTTACATATCAACTGTAAGATCCACTGCAAATTCAGAAATAGCCCTCAAAAAGCCCTGTCAAAGTACAACAGTGTGAAGGAGCTCAGAATTTCCTTTCACAGGGCTGCCACCCTGCACAAGTCCAGGGTGAGGCCTTGTTACTGGCTACCTGAATGGAGTTGTTCAGTGCCTGTTTTTTCATGTCACATGACAGAATCACACAGTGGGACTTAACCTTGGGAATAAGGGATGCAGTCCTCTTTAAGAATATGTTAAAAGTTATGGATCCTCTTCCTACAAGAATATCCTTAAACACAAAAGTGTACACTTCATTTCAGAGGGAACATGGACCCTCCAAACTTTTCCATAAATCCAGATAAAGAACCCTTGAAGGATAAAATTTTCGATGGCCCCTTCTAGCTCTAACAAATTCTTTAATTTTTTAACACTCCCCCCAAATGGATTTAAATATCATCTTTAAAGTATTCCACAAGAACAATTCATCCGCAGCCATAGCACTGTTTCTTTGAGTATATAAAAGCCACTTGAATCTGCCCTGCTGTAATGCTTGTGAAACATTCAGATTTCCAGGTCCAATCCCTGATATCTCAGAGTGGCACCAGGGAACCTGCATTGTAACCAGCACTAGTGATTATGAGGCTCACTAAAGCTTGCAGACAACTGCTCTACACATTTTTGTTCACTGCTATGTACCCAGTGCAATAGGTACCCATTGAAGTCTTGGCTGACTGGGTAAACTAAAGAATGAACTGCACCCCAACTGAATTCCAACAGCCTGCATGAGTCTAGCCCAACACCCATCACAAGGATGAACTCTTCATCTGGAATCTTTGCTGAAAGTCCATCCTCCCCCCTCCAGACAGTAAGCTCCATGAAGACAAGCCCTTGGGCTATCTTCCTAGCACCTCATACCCCTGAGAATGTGTACTGAGTTAATAAAAGATCTAGTGATGACCCCATGACCTAGATGGTTCTGCAGTGTCTTGAGTCTTAAATGCCACTGGTTTAACTACATATCTTTTATCTAGTGTTTCTTTGAGAACTGGCAAATTACATAAAAACTAAAAATTTTAACAAGAATATTAATTAATCAAAACACTCTATTCTCAATCATTTTGGATAAACAGGCATTTATTATAATTTTTTCCCTCAAAACACACAGTTTTATTGGTTGAATATGAATGGAGTTTACTAAATTCAAACAAAAACAAGCCAATGGACCAGAAAAACCCATGAAGAGATAGGATTCCTGATAAGAAGTCAGCCTCTTCCTTAGTAGACAGAGCTAATTAGTAGACAGTGAGGAGACAAGTCATCAAAAGTTCCTTGACAAATTTGGTTTTTGGATTTGTTGGTTTTTACCCCAAGCAAAGGCCTTCATTTTAACAAAGCAATAAACCCTCCAAATACTCATCACCACAGAGAGGGGCTCAAGTGAGAAGAGGTAAAGCCCCAGGCACTGACTGAAATCACGCTAATTAACGGTCCCAGAGAATACTAATTCCTATCCTCCACCCCTCCTTTGAAATAGATTTTTTAAAAACAGGCCCCTTAGTCACTCAAGAGTCTACCTTCTTCTATTTTGATGACTTATTTTTTATCTCATTAGTAACTAATTATTTAAAAGTGTGGCTTGTGTTTCAAACAAGGCTATAAAAATGGCAACTTGCCAAGGCAGACATCTGCTTCCTGTATATCCCTATAAATTTTATCAGTTTATTTTACTGACAAAATCACAACTTTGTCCCTGTCAGTTACAAAGGAGAAAGTTTTAACATTCGAGACTCTCACACCTCATCAACACTCTGCACCAAAAGTTAGTGAGCAGAAAAGAGAATCTGCGTATAGCTGTGGTGGTGTTTTTTGTGTTTTTTTCATAGAATTACTAAGCCAAGTTGAGAAACTAAGTCCTGAGTTGATACACAAAAGCCTGAGGTATAGAAGTGGCCTGTAAAAATTCCTGATGAAATCCTAAAACATACATAATTGGGAAAATAGCCCACAGTACTACTTTTAAAACCTGGAATTTCCTAAACAATAAAGTACAACTTATTTAGAACATGATGATGAAGGAAAACATTTGTTCTGCTTCACTTCAAAGATTTTCCTGAGGGAAACCCAAAAGTTTTTTAGATGTGAATGAAATGAGACCTTTTTCTAATCATGCTTCCTTTTCTTACAACTCCACACTCTTCTCCTTCAACTCCTTTCACCACTGAAACATTACATGAAAGATTTGCTGGCATGCTCCTTGACTTTTTATGCTGCT